TTACTCAAAATGACAATTTTATATATATATATATATATATATATAGCTGTGTTTGCACAAATGTTTGTTAAAGCTGTCAAGTAATTAACATTAATCACAATCACATGATTAACTGCACTGTTAAACAATATTAGAATACCATTATTTAAATATTTTGGAAGATTTCTACATTTGGATGAGTAATTTAATCAATGTAAGATGCATAACTTTCAGATTAAATAATAAATTGGAAACATCCAGTCAAAACTGTCACTGAAGAGAATTCTTACTTTGTTTAAAATTATTGGGTACTTTTAGGAATAAGAAAACTTTTATCTAATTCAGAATCAAGAGAAAACATGGATTTCAAAGTCTGATTTGAATTTAATTGTATGTGTTCTGCTCAGGATTCTGAAAAATGATGCAAAGAGGAACAGAGAAAAAAAATCAAATGAAAACATGGTATAGAAAGGAGCAGAAAATAGAACAACTGAAAAACATCAGTGTGTGGAGAAAAGGAGACGAAAGGTGAGAGAAATTCTTAATAAGAATTAGTCGATATTTGTCTATTTACAGTCTAAATACAGGGTTGCAAAATTCCTATAAAAGTGCACAACTCAGGTAAAAATCCAGGAGCCCACTAAAGTGACATGTCATGCTGTTAGTAAAATTCCATGTCTATATGTGCCCCTAATCAATGAAATAATCATTTTTGCCTTCCCATACCATACAATACTTTCCTCTTCACCATTTGTAGCTGCTTTCTTAGCATCTCTTTTGGGTGGGTTCTTCTTTCCTGACAATTGTTTCTTGGGGAGGAAGCACTCCTACTTCCAACCTCTGTTTCCGAAAGAGACAGAAATGGGGGAGTAAAGAGAGAAGAGGATGGGCGATAGTGAGTTAATTCCATGTGTTCCAAGGATGACTAGAATCAGGACTGGAATAAAACTGCAGTGAGTGGGGGAGGCAGACAAAAGAAACATGAAATAGACACATTGATTGAGGTTGTAGGAGGTGACTCTCTTTGATTGCTCCCTTGAGATAGGAGACAGACAGATGCAAGAGCGATGCTGGTGGCCAAGCACTGAGAATTGTCCAAGTTCCAAACCTAGGAAAGGGGAAGGAAGCTTGTTGAAAGAAGAGCTGTTATCAGGGACAAACAACTTACAAATTGGCTTCACTTTGGGTATGTCTAAACTACATCCCTCTGTTGAAAGAGGGATGTAAATTAGGCAAATCGAAAGTGCAAATGAAGCGGGGATTTAAATATCCCATGCTTCATTTGCATAAAGGGGTCCGAGCGCTTTTTCGAAAAAGTGTTTTTCGAAAGTGAAAGCGCAGTCTAGATGTGGTTCTTTCAGAAAAAAATCCCCTTTTTCGAAAGATCCCCTATTCCTCAAAAAATGAGTATGGGATCTTTTGAAAAAGGTTTTTAAATCCCGCTTTATTTGCACTTTCGATTTGCGTAATTTACATCCCTCTTTTCACAGAGGGATGTATTATAGACATACCCTCATAGAGAAATGTTAATGTTCAAAAGAGTAGGTAAGATTTGTATTACACAAAGTCAGCAAACAGGGAATTCCAAGGAATTCAGACAAATTGAAGGCATTGCTTGACTAATCTGAACTCAACAGTACCTCTGCTGTAAGATGATGCCAAGGCATGACACATCATTTTGGAAAATTCTTACAAAAATTTAGTTCATCTAACCAAATCCTTAAGTTCTTCTTAATGGTCATAACATGTGGATCTGGAAGAGCCCTGGTCAGGGATGGTTCAGCTTTACCTGGTCCTGCGTCAGTGGAGGGGGCTGAATTTAATGATTTCTTGAGGTCTTGAGTTCCAAGGTTTGAAGGGATTTTGAAACTGGGATGATGAAATAAGCTGGCAAGAACTAAACTTCAAGGTTCAGCTTGGAACAAAAGCACTGTCTGAACTAAGCCAGGGAACAAAGTTTGGATCAAAAGATATTAGACATTTGCAACCATTCAGATTATAGCAGATCCTAACTAGTGGAGACTCCAAAAGGATTTCTCTGGGGGACCTGAATTCATCTTCAATACTTCCCCAGCACAACAAACAGAGACTCTGGGGGTATGTCTACACTACAAAGTTAATTCGAACTAACAAACGTTAGTTCAAATTAACTTTCATAGGCGCTACACTAGCGCTCCGCTAGTTCGAATTAAGGGCTGTGTAGCCCCTTAATTCGAACTAGTAAGTTCGAACTAGGCTTAGTCCTCGTAAAATGAGGTTTACCTAGTTCGAACTAAGTGCTCCGCTAGTTCGAATTAAGGGCTGTGTAGCCCCTTAATTCGAACTAGTAAGTTCGAACTAGGCTTAGTCCTCGTAAAATGAGGTTTACCTAGTTCGAACTAAGTGCTCCGCTAGTTCGAATTAAGGGCTGTGTAGCCCCTTAATTCGAACTAGTAAGTTCGAACTAGGCTTAGTCCTCGTAAAATGAGGTTTACCTAGTTCGAACTAAGTGCTCCGCTAGTTCGAATTAAGGGCTGTGTAGCCCCTTAATTCGAACTAGTAAGTTCGAACTAGGCTTAGTCCTCGTAAAATGAGGTTTACCTAGTTCGAACTAAGTGCTCCGCTAGTTCGAATTAAGGGCTGTGTAGCCCCTTAATTCGAACTAGTAAGTTCGAACTAGGCTTAGTCCTCGTAAAATGAGGTTTACCTAGTTCGAACTAAGTGCTCCGCTAGTTCGAATTAAGGGCTGTGTAGCCCCTTAATTCGAACTAGTAAGTTCGAACTAGGCTTAGTCCTCGTAAAATGAGGTTTACCTAGTTCGAACTAAGTGCTCCGCTAGTTCGAATTAAGGGCTGTGTAGCCCCTTAATTCGAACTAGTAAGTTCGAACTAGGCTTAGTCCTCGTAAAATGAGGTTTACCTAGTTCGAACTAAGTGCTCCGCTAGTTCGAATTAAGGGCTGTGTAGCCCCTTAATTCGAACTAGTAAGTTCGAACTAGGCTTAGTCCTCGTAAAATGAGGTTTACCTAGTTCGAACTAAGTGCTCCGCTAGTTCGAATTAAGGGCTGTGTAGCCCCTTAATTCGAACTAGTAAGTTCGAACTAGGCTTAGTCCTCGTAAAATGAGGTTTACCTAGTTCGAACTAAGTGCTCCGCTAGTTCGAATTAAGGGCTGTGTAGCCCCTTAATTCGAACTAGTAAGTTCGAACTAGGCTTAGTCCTCGTAAAATGAGGTTTACCTAGTTCGAACTAAGTGCTCCGCTAGTTCGAATTAAGGGCTGTGTAGCCCCTTAATTCGAACTAGTAAGTTCGAACTAGGCTTAGTCCTCGTAAAATGAGGTTTACCTAGTTCGAACTAAGTGCTCCGCTAGTTCGAATTAAGGGCTGTGTAGCCCCTTAATTCGAACTAGTAAGTTCGAACTAGGCTTAGTCCTCGTAAAATGAGGTTTACCTAGTTCGAACTAAGTGCTCCGCTAGTTCGAATTAAGGGCTGTGTAGCCCCTTAATTCGAACTAGTAAGTTCGAACTAGGCTTAGTCCTCGTAAAATGAGGTTTACCTAGTTCGAACTAAGTGCTCCGCTAGTTCGAATTAAGGGCTGTGTAGCCCCTTAATTCGAACTAGTAAGTTCGAACTAGGCTTAGTCCTCGTAAAATGAGGTTTACCTAGTTCGAACTAAGTGCTCCGCTAGTTCGAATTAAGGGCTGTGTAGCCCCTTAATTCGAACTAGTAAGTTCGAACTAGGCTTAGTCCTCGTAAAATGAGGTTTACCTAGTTCGAACTAAGTGCTCCGCTAGTTCGAATTAGCAAAACGCTAATTCAAACTAGTTTTTTAGTCTGGATGCGTTAGTTTGAATTAGCTTAGTTAGTGTAGACATATCCTGGGATATGAGCCCTCCTCTTCACAGATAACTTCACCTACATGGGCTGGAAGACTGATTAGAAAGATTGACCAGACCTCCCCTGAGAGACTTGAGTTAGTCTGTAACAGGAAAAACTTAAAAACCAACAATAGTCTAACAAAACATGTAGATGGTAACATGAGCTTTCATGGGCTGAAGAAGCGGGTTTTGCCCACGAAAGCTCATGATACCATCTACATGTTTTGTTAGTCTTTAAGGTGCTACTAGACTATTTTTTTTAATTTTTAGAATATTGCTGGTTTAAACAGAATCGATAAGGGGCATATTAATGCAAACCATTTTTAAGAAATTTAATGTTTATTTTGAATGCTTGTGCAATAGACACGTAAACTATGAATTAACCATGAATTATGTTTTAATCTTTTATTATAAAGAAAGGGAAATGCGGAGTGGTTATGGCGTTTCTGGCCTGGCATAGCTCCTGAATAGATCATGATGTGTTGCACTGAGATCTTAATAAAGATAAGGACCTCATGGGTCAGGGAGTTTTCTAGTTATAGGTTAATGCATGGCATGCTAAGTGTATGTCCTGACATTATAGAAAGGAGAACTATAAGAGTGGTGATGAAACAAGTTTCTGAAAAGAGAAAAAAATTCTCAGAAGAGAAGGCAAGTGCAAAAGGTTTTCTGTAAGGATAAAGGGAGAGGAGCTGTATCCAGCTGAAGCAAGATATGTGCTGAATGAAAGATTTTAAAAAATTGTGTATCTTCATAAAATGTCATGATCTTTATTTAACTAGAATACAATAAAATCATATTTTCGGAATAAATTGTAGTTAAAATATTCTTTTCACAATTTTTCTTGCATCTCAAATCAGAATTAAAATAAAATTCTATTGTCCTTTAGAACAGCCAGTAAGACACATTTAAGGCTCTCTTCCCATCTCTCCTGGAAAAATACATACTCTATTGTTATCAGTAATTTATCAAATATGATCATAATATTAATATTAAATGATTAGTGGCCTTTAGATTTATCTTTAATCTTCTGCAAAGAGCAAGTTATTAAAATTGTGAAACAATCTGAAATCTATATGGTACCTTCCATGCAAGTTGCTTAGTGTCATAAAAACCTCCTAAATCTAAAAATTGTCTGACTGATTCAAGTGGTGGCTGGGCACCATACTCCTCTGGTATTGGCATATTCACATCATCAATAAACACTATCACCTGTGAATAAACATAACCACATTAAAAACCATATCTGAGTTGTATTATGCTTAGCTTTACTTATTATTAGAGTATTAACATAAAATGATTGTGTTTCATGTATATAGTTATGAATCAGATTTCTCTTTAACTAAAACAAACATTAGTGTACCTGAACAAATGACCTAGTATATGTTGTTATATGAGCTAAGATGTAAACTATATATATGGGCAAGCTGTTATAGCTCATCTACATGGAAAAAAAGACAATACTTTAATATTAAGAAACAAAGAATTGTAAGACCATGCTGAGTCAGACCAATAGTCCACCTAGTAAAGTATCCTGTCTTCTAACAGTGGACAATGTTTCAGAAGGAATGAACAGAAAAGGGCACTTTATCAAGTGATCTGTCCCCTGCTGTCGGGTCTCAATTTCTGTCAGAGGTTTAGGGCCACTCAGAGCATGGGACTGCATCCCAGACCAGCTTCCTAATAGCCACTGATGGACCTATCACCTATGAATTTATCTTATTTCGAGGATGAATATGAATATGTTTGAACTATCTGGATTAACTGCTTAGTAAACTTCTATTTTTTCCATTATTCTTATGTCTTACTATGTTAGTAAATGATAACTTAGATTGTTTATTAATTTCAAAGTTTTTGTGGTCAATATATAACTGATATATAAAAAGTAGGATTTAAGTGACTGCAAGTGAAAACAGATGGATCAAAATAAGTTACAAAGCCAAAATAAACAAAGCCCACCAGCTAAGCCTAATACACTAATGGTGTGTCTAGACTACATGCCTCCTTCGACGGAGGCATGTAGATTAGCCAGATCGGAAG